ACGATTTAGCCATTAGCTTCGAAATGTGTAAAAAAGCAGAAGATTGAGAGAAACTGCGACTCTGTGTGGGACACTGACGAGAGTAAACAGAGTCTAGCTTATTTATTTGCCCAATTATGTCTTACTTGAATTTACGTAAATACCCTTCTTATTCGCATTTGTAAACCTACAAAATTATACGGGCCAAAGCCCGAAAACGCTTCCTCAAGAATTTTAAGTCTAGCCCAAACCTTCAGGCCTATCAAAGCATTTTGGTTAATCTTAAAACATCAAAATATTGGAGTTGAGAAGAATTGTTGGGAAATGTAAAAAATTAACCGTCCAACCAACCATTAAGAAGTTTGAAATGGATAACATAAACTTGTCATTTCAAGCCATTTGTCTGATGTGCTAAAATCACAATTAACATAATTTCATTTGATCACGTAATTAGCTTTGACTGGATAAAAAAATTTGTCGGTTTCAAACAAATAAGAAAATATGTACCCAGCTAAATGTTTGGTGATAAGAGCTTTGTAGAAAAATATTTCCAGTAATTAGTCAAAATCTACACAAATTCTACATTTTTCCGAATAACACCAGCTGGGTAAATACGCACAAAAAAAATGACGCCAAAAAGAATATATCAAATATACATATCAATTATTATTTGTGGTTAAGCGCCACGTGGAAGAAGCTAAGCCCCTTGTAAAACTGTAACCGACACGTGTCACGTTGTTGTTGAAGAGGGAGGATTTTGTGAACGTATATGTCGTCGTCATAACTCACAAGTCTCGTAACCGGTTTAATGACTAAATATGTCGGCAATTTTACGAAATTGCCATTAATAGCTGATTTTGTGAGATGTCGGTAGATCCTTATAGCCACGTACCAAAAGAGTGACACTAACCACAAACATTATTTTATTACAAATGTTTGAAATTTTCCTCACATGTTATTAAATTGGTCTGCCTTTTGTCTCATTTCTTTAATCAACAAATATTAAATCGAACACATGTTGACTGTTGAGGACCAGTAATGTGGAACTACATTAATTTTTCTTAACTAAAAATATTTTCCTTCATAATTGACTAAATCAAAATAATAAATTCCGAGATTATATCGAAAAAACGCCAAAAAAAAATCAGCAATTTGACCTTGCGTACCTTAAATGAGATCCCAATATTTACATCACCACCAAGCAAAAGATTTCAAATATAAAGACTTTGATTCAGCCTTT